ATGGCTACTCCCCCCCGCCCCTCCAGTGTACCCTGGTGCTGGACATCATAACCAGGCGGACAGACGAGAGCCAGGGGAGGGCCCCCCTCCGCCAATCCACATTCTCGGTTATGCATGCCAGGTCTGCATCCTCCTCCAGGATAAGCTCTTGAATCACCTGGGGCTTGTTGGATACAGACCTGGCATTCAACAGCACCAGGGTTAGAGTGGAAGGCTGGCTGAACTAACTACCTCGATACTGAGGGTTGGTCACAGTCTCAGAACAGTGAACAGCCTTCAAACATCTGTTCATCGTTCTACTAACACGAGTAGGGACTGTGCCAATGCCATATCTCCCTCTACCCATAATCACTGGGATGTTAAAAGGCCCCTTGCTGGGCGGGCAGGTCTCCCACTCCATGCCAGACAAAGAAGAAGGAAATGAAAAAATAAATTAAAAACAGCACTAAATAGTACAACTTAACAAAATACAAAAACAATACATTACAGTACAAAATTATAAAAATCCTGATACAAAATAGAATTAAATTAAATTAAAAAGTGCCAAGAAGTTACCCCCTCCCATCTAGTCCAGGTCCATCCTCCTCCACCTCGCAACCTTGTCCTTTTAAGTTTTACTGGTCTTGGTGTTCTTAAATGTTATTTCAAAAGTTGTTTGAGAAAAGGAAAGTGCCGGAGTTTATGTGGGTTCACGGTAACACAGGGTGAGGGAGAAGCTTTGGCAAGGACTCATGACACAAAGACCCGAAGCCTGTATGAATGCCTCCCATAGGAACATCAGGTCAACCAGCCTTGAGTATTAGCAGGATGAGGTGTTTAGATGGCTGCTGTTGCTATAAAATCTGCACCCAGAGGCTTCCAAGTTTGTGGAAGCAACAAGTCAAACATTTTGGCTCGCATCCACGCTTCAGCTTATCCTGGACCCTGTTCTCTGGACCCCTAGCTTTGGACTCTGACTGCTGACTACAGTTTGTGTTTTGGCTTTTGCATTTTAGTATCTGCTTTGCATCTTCTGGACTTCTGATATTGGACTATTGCCTGTTGAAACCCCATTGGAACGTGACACAGGATTTCGGGAGTAAATCAAAATATCATCCAAATAGATGATCACAAAGCGATCAAGCAGATCTCGAAAGATGACATTCATGAATAGCTGGAGCATTGGTCAGGCCAAAAGGCATGACCAGGTATTCATGCTGGCCATAAGGAGCCCCGAAAGCCGTCTTCCACTGGTTGCCTGCACGGATTCTCACCAAATTGTAGGTGCCATGGAGGTTCAACTGGGTATAGATACGTGCCCCCTTAAGGCGATCCAGGAGTTCACCAATCAATGGCAGGGGGTAGCAGTTCCGAATAGTTATTTTATTCAAGGCCTGGTAATCATTGGAGGGGTGGAGCTCTCCGCCTTTTTTTTTTTGACAAAGACAATGGGTGCAGACAGGGGTGATGTGGATGGCCGGATGAATCCCCCTTTCAGGTTTTTATCAAGAGTTCTGGTTCGGTCATAGGGTAGATCTATCAATTTGGTGCCCCAGGCACCAAATTGATGACACAATCATAGGGTCATTGCAGGGTTAGCTGGTCGGCCCCCTTTTCCTTGAAAACATCAGCAAAGTCCCCGTATTCTGAAGGTATCATGGGACTCTGTTGATCTTGCAGCAGCCAAGGTGGCTGGTGGACCCAGATGCGGACACGGATCCCTGAAGCGCAACAGCCTTTGGGCCAAGTCTACTAGGGGGTTGTGTGTTTGGAGCCAGTAAAGTCCCCGAATGAGCGGAAAAATGGGGCATACGTGCAATGTTGAATTGTAGTTGCTCCTGATGGGGTTGGATCTGGAGAATAACCGGATAGGTTTCCTGGGTCACCGGGCCGGAGCGGAGGAGACACCCGTCTATGGACTCAACCAGGTTCGGGGTCTCTTTGTCCTGTACAGGGATCCGGTGTTGTTTCACGAAGGCCATGTCAATGAAATAGCGGCTGGCCTCAGAATTGACCATGGCATAAACAAACAGCCAGCGCCCATCCAGCAAGCAAAGTTTCACTAGCACAAGGAATGGACCCTGGATATTAACATAGGGTTCAGGGGACCCAGCTAAGTGCCCCACGTCTGGAGGTCCACTCAGACATGGGGCAAATCTTTTACTGATGGTGGTAGCACGGAGCCGGGGTGCACCACTTGACCAAGGAGTTGGAGGCGAAGTATCTGCTCCCGCACAGTACAGGCAGATTCTGGGAACGGTGTTGTGTTTTTTTCCTCAAGGGTGCGTTTTGGCCGATCAGCCCCTAACTGCATGGGCTCAGAATTCTCTTGTGCAGTGCTAATAGGCATCAGGGGTGGCTGCAAGAGATGGGAACCGCTCCGTACTAGGCGTCGACTCTCTAGGCAGCCATCAATGTGAAGGCACAGCATGATTAATTATTGCAGCATATTGGGTCAGTCTACACGCGCCAGCTCATCCAGGATATCATCAGCCAACCCCTCCATATATTGGTCCATGAGAGCTGCTTCGTTCCAGAGCAAGTCTTGAGCCAAGAGTCTGAACTCAGTGGAATACCGGGAAACTGAACCCATAATGTTTCAGGGCCCGAATCTTCCTATTGGCTGTAGTATCTTGCAAAGGATTAGCAAAAACTGCTGAAATATGGTCCAAAAAGCCCTGGTAATTGCTTAATGGGGGGAAGGAGCAAGGAGTAGAGGAGTAGCCCATTTAGCTGCCTGTCCCTTGAGAAGGCTGACTAAGAAGCATACCTTAGTTTTGTCCATGGGAAAGTCTCTTGCATGTAGCTCAATATACAGTTTACAGGAAATGCTGGAAACTCCTCCACCTTTCTTCCAAACTTTTCTGCTGCACTTGACCTGGGCAGCAGCATTGGCCTGGGATTGCAGTTGTTGCTGCTGAAACTGTGCCGTTTGTGTAATAAACTGCACCTGAGTAAGCACAGCATTCAGCTGACCAGAACCTTTGCTCCATTGTGTGGAGAGTGTGTGTGGTGGAAGCAATCTGTCATGTTCCCAGGGGGGTTCAACAGGCAAAAGTCCAATGAATCAGTCCAATATCAGAAGTCCAGAAGATGCAAAGCAGATACCAAAATGCCAAAGCCAAAACACAAACTGTAGTCAGAAGTTAGAGTCCAAAGCCAGAGACTTATTACTTCCACAGGCTTCAAAGCCTTCTAGGTGCAGATTATATAGCACAAACAGTCATCAAACTCCTAGAAGTCTTCCATCTTGTTAAAACTCAGAACTAATTGATCTGATGTTCCTACAGGAAGCATTCATGCGATCCTCTGACCTTCATGTCATGAGTGTTTGCGAAGTTTAGCCCTCACTCTGGCTACTGGGGGAGGAAAATCTGGTGGTGATTCATCTGTCTGTGCTTCTAATTGCCCAGCATTTTCCTCAGCTGTAATTAACCCCTCAGATCTTCTTTGGCTGAACTCATGACACCTTGCAATGGGAATGAGCGACCAGGAGCCAATCATCTGTGCATGGGAAAATTAGGATCCCTTGAAGCTTGAGGAAAGCAGCCACAGGAGCCATACACTTGAAGACTCTGGGAGCTGTTGCAAGCCCAAAGGGAAGTATCTTGAATTGATAAGCATTTGATCCAATCTGGAATCGAAGAAACTGTCTGTGAGAGGGGTGGATGGAGATGTGGATATGTAAGTCTCATAGGTCCATGTCTGTGAACCAGTCATTTTTTTTCAGAGAAGCAGAATGGATTTGAGGGTTACCATGCAGAATTTGGTGGTAATGACATATTGGTTGAGCTCTCTGAGGTCTAGAATAGGTCGAAGACTGCCATCCTTTTTGGGGATGGTGAAATAATGTGAGAAAAAAATGTTTTGGTGTATTGGTTCTATGGTGTCTTTGAGAAGTAAATTCTGTATTCTTGTAGGGTTTGGAGTGGTGGTGTAACAATGTGATGAGGCAAAGGGAGCTGATGGAAATAGATGTGGTATCCATTTTGGATGATGGACAGAACCCAGGTATCGGTGGTGATGGACTCCCAGGCAGGTAAGTGCTTCCACAGAAAAGGGGGTTGATTTGTGATCTCAATCAGGAAAACGTCAAACATGTTTGGGTTTATGATCATTACGCCTCTGGATAGATTGTTGGAAGGGTTTAGGTTTATACTGTTGTTTGAAATAAGGTGTGTAGGATGTTTGACGTTGGGGTTCACGTTGGGACCTTTGGTAGGAACTGTAAGGTCACTTCCATTGGTTACATTGGGGTGTTGTTAATAAGTAGGGTAGATGCCCCATCATTTGGCAGCCAAACACTTCTTTTGGACATTTTCTAGGATGATGTCCATTTCAGCATTAAAAAGGTGATTCCCGTCAAAGGGGAGGTCTTCAATACGTGCCCGAGCATCTCTGGCAAGGCCAGCTGTTCATAGCCAGGAAAAACATGTCAATACTACAGAGGTAGCCATTGATTTAGCCGTTGCATCTACAGTGTTTGTTTGAAAACGTTTCTTGTTTAGCAACAGAGAGTCCCTCCTGTTGGAAAGTTTGTACTAGTACCTTTTTATCTTCAGGCAAGGAGTCAAGAAAAGTGGCCAAATGAATCCCAAATGAAGCGCTGATATGCCCCCATAGCCCCTTGATAATTCGCTATTCTCATTCTGAAAGCCACTGAGGAGTTAAGCCACCTGTCCATGGAGTCGATTTTCTGACTTTGTTGGGCAAAATTAGGGTCTACTGATGTCGAGATTGAGACTGAGAGGCTTCAATGAATATCGAATTCGCGGCCGGTTGCTTTTGAAGAAAGAGTGCTCCTGGGTCATGTATATTGTGGCAATCAACCCTCTGTTGCCCCTATTTCTTTGGGCCTCACAAAGGAACACACGCCCTTTTCGCTGCCACCAGGTATTCTCTAATACCACTTCAAGACCCACACAGGAGCTGCCACCCCAAATAGGTCATATACTTTAGGAAGCAGGGTTTATGATTAAGTATTCTTTTATTATTTATTTATTCTATTTATATCCCACCTATCTGGTCGTTATGACAAAAAACAACAGGAAAATCATATATGAGTCCGTTCAGGTGTTAATACTTTTTAGATCATGCAATCGCTTTACTATCAATTTTATATATCTCTTGTTATGCTTATACGTTCATTCCTGCTTGTTACATGTGTTTTACTTTCAATTTTCTCTCCTAAACCCCTTTAATCTATTCCTAAACCCTAACACTCTCTATACATCTTCTGGTCTTTCTACCTCTCCCTAACTCCAACTGTCCCTAACTGTCCCTTCAACTCCCTGTCACTCCAGCTCCGCCCCTCCTGCTCTATCCTTGGCTCCTCCTCCTTTTTTGCTGTGATGGACAGGCAGGAATGACATCACCTTTTTGGATTCCGCTACATACCTCCCCCCTTAGCAAGTTTGTTCCATGAAGTAAACCTATAGTGGTTTGCTCCATGAAGAATGTAGAAGCAGTTTAATATTTACCCAACTTATAATAACATTACACATTTTTAATTCACATTAATACTTACTCAACATCATTAACCTCAGTCAATTAACATTTGCAACCAACACTTTCAATTTCCTTGTTATTACACTTTTCCATTGCTTACCATTCTATCATTTAAAGTACAATTACATTTGCAGTTATTTATTTTTATTTACACATAACTGGAACAGTTTATTACATCCTACATTTCTTACTATTCTTTCATTTCAAAGGACAATTACTTTTGCAATTACTTATTTTTATACATAACTGGAAGTTTATTCCATTCTACATTTTCTTTCAGTAGTCTTTTTTTCTCTTCCTTCTGTCTCTGTGCCCAGGCTTTAGCAACTATCTTTTGAGTCTTTCTTTTTCTGCGAAATTCAAAGTCCAAACCTTGCAAGTTCCTCTTCCGGTTTGCAAGCTTGTTCTTGTAGGCTTTCCCAGTTCGTAATTCCATTAAAGGTACTGAATCTGTGCATAGTCCAAATTGTCCTTTCCCCTTGCACAGCTTGATTTCCTGTAACAACCACCCCCTTTTGTCACACTTAACGTTCCCTCGATGCAAGGTGTCTCACCCGTCTGCAGCTTTCCATTCAGGAACATAGCTGGCCGATGATCTTTCTTGTCTGCTTGGCTCTGGGTTCGAATCTGTCACTCAGCGTGGAACTCTAAGCCTCTCACAATCAGACTGGCCATCACCGCCTCCTTCCGCTTCCCAACGACCTCCTCACAGTTGCTCGCCCCATGGATATTTTCAGCTTTCTTTTTGTGTCAGGTTAAATGTAGGGACAGCTAATTCCCTGAACTCTGGTGTACCCTTTAGAGTTGCACCTCTAGTATCAATTTGGTGCACTGCTCCCTGTGCTACTACTGGTTCTCCCTTCTCTTGGCTTCTATAACTTATTTTATTCATTTTGGGGATTATTTTGTGTGGATCTGCCCCATTTAATTGTAACTTTTTTCCTTTGGAGGGTTTTAGCTCAGATTCTCATCTTCAGGGTTAAATGCTATCTCTTTGGCTTTTCTGTCAGCCTCTAGCTCCTGTTTCTGTTGCTGGCCCTGCAGACCATCTGCTGCAATCTCAAGGGGTCTCTGCAAAGTGTTCCCTAAGTTATCTATACATTGAATTGCTGTTTCAGGACCTTGCTTCCCCTCTATTTTCTCCCAATTTTGTTCTAATTTTGAATTTAGTGTTTCCTGTCTTCCTTTTGATTTTGTATACACAAAATTAACCTGCTTCAACTCATCCCTACTCTTTCCAAGTACTGACACCTCTCCGTGTTCATGTTTCAGTTGTTCTGTGTGTTCATGTTTCAGTTGATTAAAAATCTTATTAATGTCTTCAATATAATTATTGTAATAATCCCTATTGGATTTATCCTCCCTATTTCTTTTACTTTGACATATGTCACAACTATGACAACATTCTTTTATCTCCTTTCCAATTTTTGGCCAATAGTACTTCTGAGATATTCTTTGCTTAGTCGCTGTAATACCTAAATGTCCAGATAAGGTGTCTGCGTAACTTTTTTCCAATATTTTCTGTCTGTATTTAGAAAGAACTATTAGTAGTTTCTGAAGGTTCTCCCCTTCTCTCCTGGGATTTATTAAGATCTCACTATATAAAAGGCCCTTTTCCTCAAAGTACCTCTCGGGGTTCTCAGGGGTTACTGGATCTTTGCCAACCATTTTAACGCATTGTTCTAAAGTTGGATCTGTTTCTTGATCCTTTTTAAATGTACTTTCATTTGGATTCCTCATTGTTACCAAATCAGCTATTTCATCATTGCCCCTAATTATTTCATTAGGGGTCTCAAGTTTTTCCTCAGATATTTATTTTCTTTCTGGGAGTCAGTACTCACCAAAACACTCTAGACATGCTCAGAGAGATCTATACCTATCAGGCATGACACTGGCAGTTCACTAGCAATTCCTATTTTCCACCAACCAGTCCACCCTTGATATTTTATTGGTATTTTTGCCACTGGTAATGTAATTATCTTTGTCCCAATTCCTTCGACTTTTATGCTTTCTCCTTTCACTATAAATTCTGAAGGGATTATTTCTGGATGGCATAATGTTACTTGAAAGCATGAGTCCTTTAGAGCTGAATATTTAGTCTCATTTATATAAATAGCATCCCCAGAATATTTCATAGTTCCTGATTATTTTCAATCAAGTAACATTGGAGAATTTGAGCTACTGGGAGTTGTTCTTGTTGTTCTGGGCTCTCTGCTCTAGCACTAACTGTGGTTGCCATGGCACCTGCTTCAACTGCCCCTGTAGGTACCTCCTTCTGCTATATGCAATATACTTTCTTAAGTACCTCTAAATTCCCTTTTTGTTGCCCAAAATCTTTATTTTTAACACATTGCAATTTAAAGTGGCCTTGTTCTCCACAAGCAAAACATCTAACAGCTTTTCATTCAAAACTAGATTTCTCTCCTTTCCCTTCCCAGTTTTTAAATTTCTACTGGCCCTGCTCTGAGGGCTTGCCCTTAAAATGGCTTCCAACTGTCGGTTGATCTCTGAGGTACATTCTGGGTTCTCTCTTTCTGTCATCCCAAGCTTTCCCTTCAAATTTTACCTCAGAATAATTTGAGTTCTTTACTTCTTTTATATATTCAGCTGGTTTTGATAGATTCCCTTCAGGATGGAATTCCTTATTATTATATTTTTGAACTGTAACTTCCCTCAGTTTTACTCTTAGTTCGTCCCTGAGCTGTACCATCTGTTCCTCAGCCCTAGCTCTTATTTCTTTTAATTTTTCTTCAGTCTTAGCTTTGATTTCTTTTAATTTAATGTCTTTTTGCAGATTCCATTTTTCAAGATCTTGCTTACTTTGTCTGGCCTGAGCCTCATATTTTTCTCTTTTGGAAACTTCTTCAACTGCTGAATTGTCCCTAATTGTCCCTTCAACTCCCTGTCACTCCAGCTGTGCCCCTCCTGCTCTATCCTTGGCTCCTCCCCTTTTTTTGCTGTGATGGACAGGCAGGAATGACATCACCTTTTTGGATTCCGCTATATATATGGTAAAGATTATCGATTCATTTTGATACCAAATGAGAGGCTGGCTTGGTCCAGGATCATTGAGCAGTGCTGAGAAGGGATGGTAGCATGAAAATATGGACTGGAGTAGTTGTATCTGTTTCAGTTGTGGGGAGATGGGTCTGTAGATTCAAAGACTTAACCATGAGTTGAGCATATGTTTGAAAATCCTCTGCCGGTGATAGAGGATCTACATCTGCCAGGTCAGAATCTGGTGATGTGAGAAGCACAGATGGGAGTTTGTGGCCAGGATCCACGTTCTGAGATTTCGGGATCAGGTCTGGAATTGATAGAACATCAGTCAACTTCGGTGTCGAGAAGTTGTAATGTTCTCGGTGGCCTGCTACCGAATGAGGTGGCATGTCCATGGACATCTGTCGACGTCAAAGATATCAACTGCCATCGACATTGGTGTGGCTGTGGACAAAGGTAAAAATCTGTGGGCCTTGGTGTCATAGTCGACATCTTGGTATTGATGGGCTACGTGTTTAGGTTGGTGTCTATATCAAGAGTCAGCGCTTGGAAAAGTGTGAACTGGAGCATCCATGCACCAGGACTGATATTGAGAGTCATCAATATCGGAGCCAGTATCTCTGTGATGTCAAAAAGGCGACTGTGGCTGATTTGATGGGCACGTCAGCGGGCCTGTCAAACAGATTGAGGCCGGACACGCCAAGCGGGAAGAACAATCTCCATCATTTTGAGCTGGAAAATATCAGCTGACCGGCTGCAAATGCTTCACGACTGGAAGCGTTTGTCAATTGCCTTGAGATTTTGAGGCGGTTGGTATACAACTGTTTGATGACCACGCATGTCTGGTTGATAAGCTCATTTTGACACCGAAGGGTGTCGAGATGGAGGTTGCTGGTGTAATAGTGCTGTGGGGCCAGACAAGATGATCGGTTGAACAGCTCTGGTGGATTTATTAGTAGAACATTGATCGGGGCAAATGGCTACCCGATGAGAGTGCTGAGCGTGGCTTTGGCCCGTGCATGCTGGCGGAATTGCTTCATAAGCCTGATGCACATGGTAGTGCGTTGGTGGTGGTGGCAGCAGGCTGGATGGTACAGGATAGAGCACAGTGTCGGGCTGAGGCTCTGATTTCGCTCTCTCCAGTGAGGCGTCCATGGACGGGTTACTTGGAGAGATAGACTGTTGGGGACTAGCAGGCGAGGAAGTAAGATAATCTACTCACTTGTCCCATTCCAGTGATTGAGATGTTGGCTGGTGAGATGGGATTCCTTCTTCATCAGAAGGTGAACCAACACAAATCAAATTGCCAGATTCGGAGACCTGTTGCAGAGTGATTACAGGGGATTTTGTCTTTGTTTAGATCTTTTGGATTGAGGAGGATGTGTAACTGAGGAGGTCTTGGGAGACATTTTTTGCTTCCCGGAGGACTTCAATGTTGAGGTTTTCAATGTCAAGTGCTTGGGTCTGTGTCTCTTAGAAGTTTTTGATGAAGTCAAAGGGGCATCAGAGTGTGATGGTGTAGCTGAAGGGCGCTGTTTAGTTAATTCAGAGATGGCTTTTTCCATGGCTTTAGCCTGTGAGGCAGCTTTACATAGAGGTTTAAGCCACAGGTTTTACAGGTTGTAAAGATTGCTCCCAGAGATGGAGTTTAAGTCTAGAAAGGCGAGAATGGAGGACTCCCCTTTTGAAATTATTAAAATGAGCACACAAGGTTTGGTGTGCCTTGCCTAGACAAAAAAGGCACTTTGTGTGGCTATCCAACAGTGGAATTTTATTATCACAAACCACACAGTGTTTAAACGGAGGGTCATAAAATAAAGAGGAACGGGGAGGGGCAATGGCCAGACGCCAAGGCACTAGGAAAAAAACCTAGGGAACAGTTTGTATTATTAGCAATTTAGAAATAAAAATGAAAGAAAAAACATTAGGAATCAAGAATAAAAACTCTCACTTTTAACTCAGAGAAGCTAGAAATAAGAGACTCTTCACGGCAGTTAAAAGAAACTGAAGGGAGAGTCTTGGCGCCAATGTACTTGTGTGGTGGGGGAAGCGTCTAGTCTAATGTGGTTTTTTGCTACCGCAGCAGCTCAAGAATCTTCTGACGAGGCTCCACGCAGGCACAGATCACTCACGGTGTGATTCACAGAGGCCATGAAGAACTGAAAGAACAGAAAGGAAATGGAGAATCATATGTCAAAGACACATATTCCTGTTTACAAATACAGGAGGATGAGGCTGTTTGTGCCATCAAAAGCATCTGGATTAATATAATTGGGGCAAAAACAAAAGGACCGTGATAGTTGAAGTCTACTACCCACTGTTCCATCAAGAAGATGCAGATGAACATTTTGAAAAACAAACTGTAAGAATTTCAAAGAAACACAATGTACTAGTAATTGGAGACTTCAATTATGCTGATATCTATTGGGAGACAAATTTTGCCAAATATTGACCTTCCAAGAAATTCCTGGCTTGCTTATCCATCCATCCGTCCGTCCGTCCGTCCGTCCATCCATCCATCCATCCATCCATCCATCCATCCGTATGTGACTCATAATTTTCTTCTACAAAAACTGGAGAAAGAAAACAGAGGAGTAGCAATCCTTGACTTGAACCTAACTAATAGAGATGCCTTGGTGGAAGAAGAGGCAGCAAGAGAGACTCTGGTTGAGAGTGGCCATGTTTTACTTGAATTCTTAATTTCAACACGAAGAGCAGAGTGTAGCTGCACATATATGCTAGACTTTAGGAAACCCAATTTTGATAAACTCAGACCAATGACAGGCAAGGTCCCATGGCAGGAAATCCTAACAGGAAAAGGAGTCAAAGATGGGTGGGAGATTCTTTAAAAGGACATACAAAAGGCACAACTACAAACAATTCCAACCAAAAAAAATGTGAAAGAAAGCAAAAAATACCAATGTGGCTTCACAAAAAGCTCAGAGAGGACTTGAAAACAAAAACAAAAGACACAAACACTAAAGGAAGTGGAAGGAAGGTAGGTTACAAAGGAAGAATACAGTCAGAAAGCAAACAATTGTAAGGATTGCATTAGGAAGGCAAAAGCTGAGAACAAGCTGAGATTAGCCAGATACACTAAAAGCAATTTTAAAAAGCATTCTTCAGGTATGTGTGTAACAAAAGAGAAAAGAATCAATGGCTCACATAGACAATCAGCTCAGTCTTCTCCCAAAAGACACTCTGTACTCTCTAGGCAAATGTGAAGTACAAAGGGACGGGATAGGATTGTAGCTTGAAACTGATAAACAGTCAAGAATTATCTTGCTAATTTAAATAAGTTCCAATCTCCCGGGATGGATGCACTGTATCCAAGGATATTGAAAGAACTGGCTGAACAGACTGCAAAAGTACTGTCTCTTCTTGAGATCATGAAGAATGGGTGAAGTACCAGATGACTGGATAAAGTGGTCCCAATCTTCAAAAAGGGCAAAAAGGAGGAACTAGGAGGAACTACTTGACTGGTCAGCCTCACATCAATGTCAGGGAAAATTCTGGATCAGATTACAAAACAGCCACTCTCCAAGAGCCTTGGGGAAAATGCAGTAATAAGTAGAAGCTAACATAGATTTGTCAAGAGTAATTTGATCTCACTTTTTGATCGAGTAACCTCCCTGACAGAAAGATGCAATGCTAGAGACATAATATATCTTGACTTCAGTGAAGCTTTTCACAAAGTGCCCCATGATATGCTGATTCGCAAGCTAACTAGGTGTGCAATGGATAGAAAAAGTGTTATGTGGATAGAAAGTCGGCTACAGAATCATACTGAGAGAGTGCTTATCAATGGCGGCTCCTCAAACAGGGAGAAGGTATCAAGTGGGATAACAAGGCTCATTTCTGGGCCTGGTGATCTTCAACGTTTTTATTTATGACTTGGACAAGGGACTGCAGGAAATATATATCTAATTTGCAGATGACACTAAATTGGGTGGAATAGCTAATACCTTTGAAGACTGAACAAAATTCAAGATCTTGATAGCTTGAGTACTAGGCTGAAAACAACAGAATGAAATTTAACAGGGATAAATGTAAAGTTCTGCAACTAGAGGGGAAAAAACCCAAAATGCCATATTTACAAGATGTGGGATACTTAGCTCAGTAATACAATGAGTGAGAAGAAATTGTTGTAGATCAAAAGCTGAGTATGAACCAACAATGTGATGTAGCTCTGAAAAAAAAAGCAGAATCTGCTCTTGATCATCTCAGAGTGCAGGATGTGCAATAATGAGCTCAAGCTACAGGAAGCCAGATTTGGGCTGAATATCAGGAAAAACTTCTTAACTGTTAGAGCAGTACAACAATGGAACGAATTACCTGGGGAGGTGGTGAGTGCTCCAACTCTGGAAGCATTCAAAAGAAAATTCGACAACCATCTGTCCAATCTGCTTTGACTTGTATTCCTGCGCTGAGTAGTGGGTTGGACTCAATGGTCTTACAGGCCTCTTCCAACTTCATTATTCTGTGATTTTATGATACTACAAACTGCTTACAGTTCTAGAATGAGGCAGATTTTCTGTAATTCCTTCTTCAAAAACATATATTTTTATTTTAAAAAGTCTGGTCCAGACAAGAAATATGATCATTTCAGAACACTTATGGATTTTAACCAGGGATAAGCAGTGGATATGCAATGGTCCCTCTTGGGTCTGTGCCCAGAGGTGGGATTCAGCTGGTTCGCACCAGATCTATAGAAGTGGTTCCTAAATTTGCTTTTGGTTCGTAGGTCTGGTTGCTGGCCTGAGATGAATGAAGGAGGAGGAGCCAGGTGACCAGTGATGAGCGGGGGGCAGGGCGGGCTATGATTTTTTTTCAAGTTAAAGGTACCATATAACTAAGACTGTTGCTCTGACAATTTGGGGAGAGAAACGGCACACAGATTGTCTACTCTGTCAGAAGCAGGAAGACAGCTATCAGTTTTTTAACACTAGTAAGACTTGCCATTATTGAAGGCCAGGGCCAAGAAAGGAAAGCAGATCAACATATCAAAGGGGAAATCAAAACTATCCAGACATTCAGGCTGGGGTGGGGGCCGGAGGGACTCCGAGGGGGAGGGACTAAAGGGCACAGAGCATACTAATCTTCAGAGGACTGTTGAGATTGGCTTTCAAGCTTTCATTTTTGAGATTACTTTCAAGTAAGTATGCTTCTTTTCACATGATTTTTTAAAAACATAAGAGACATGTAATTTTGCATATGATGAAATACAGATATGTAGAATGGGTCTGGTCTGGCAGCAAGGGAGATTTCCACCCTCACGGATTTTATGCTACATCAGCTTGTGGAGACAAGTCTCTCTCTCTCCCCACCCCCAATTAAGGGCATTTATTTGCAAAGGCTTTCACGGTCGGGATCTGATGGTTGTTGTGGATTTTTCGGGCTGTTTGGCCGTGTTCTGAAGGTTGAAATGTTAGGAAGAACAACCTTCAGAACACAATCAAAGAGCCCGAAAACCCCACAAAAACAATTAAGGGAATAACCTTTCAACTTTTTGGAATTGGCAGGTAGATGCGAGGAATCCATACAAAACCTGTGGTTGCTATAATTGTTATGTGTTGTCAATTTCCCCCTTACTTAGGGTGACCCTAGGAATGAGCAATCTCCAACATGGCCTGGCCTCAGCAGCCCTGCCCATCTATTGCAAACTCAAGCTTGTGGTTTCCTTAGAGAGTAGGTCTATCTTGCATTTAGCCTTCCTCTTTCCCTGCTGCCTTCCACCTTTCCCAGTATTATGGTCTTTTTCAATCTATGCCTGCCTTCTCATGCTGTGCCCAAAGTAGGACAGCCTCAGGTTTGTTTGTTTGTTTTTGCCTCCAGAGATAATTTAGGCTTAATTAGATCTAGAACCCACTTACTCATTTTTTTGCAGTCCAGGGTATCTGCCATACAATCCGATCAGGCCGAGGGTGTCTGCAAAGATGATCGTAATTTTGTTAATCGAGACAATCCTCTTTGAAGAGCCACGTGTCTGCAAGCTGTTTTAAGCTTCTGTTGTTACATGCTATCAATGTCACCCCTGGTTTAGGGTGACCCTATGAATGAACGATCTCTGAAATGAACTGTGCTCAACAGCCCTGCACAGCTGCTGCAAACTCAACCCTGTGGGTTCTCTGATGGTGCCAATCCATCTCACATTTGGTTTTCCACTTTTCCTGTTGCCTCCAACTTTTCTACAGAACCTGGAATGAGGAGGGATTAAATGACTGTGGTGTTGTTCAGAGACCAGTTCACATCCCAGGGTGGCAGCCTCTCTTGCTTGTGCTACAGAAAAAGCTTCATTATTACTATTACTGTTGCTTTGTGGTAAGAACTTTTTTTCAGAAGGGGTCAGAGAATTTGAGAGTTATTCTCAAGTGTTGGGAGAGTGAGGACAGACAAAAGAAAATGTTTTTTGACTCAGTGTGTGGTTAGTCTGTGGAACTCCGTGTCACCAGATGGGGTGATGGCATCTGGCCTAGATGCCTTGAAAAGGGGGTTGGACAGATTCCTGGAGGAAAAGTCCATTGCAGGTGACAAGCCATGATGATGAGGATGTACAATCTCCAGGCTTAAAAGGAAGGTCCCTCCAAATTCCAGATGCAGGGGAGGGGGATCAGGAGACAGGTGTCTAGTTGTCTCTTTGCTCCCAGAGGCATCTGGTGGGGCCACTGAGAGATCCAGGATGCTGGACTGAGATGGGCCCTTGGCCTAATCCAGCAGGGCTCCTCTTAGGTTCTTATGC